TCAACATAGTAAATCATATAATTATTCTTTCATTTTTCACCGTTAATTTTTTGTATAATATTTATTCAAGTGTATCACATTATGTTATATTATATTTACACATTATGTTATTTTCTTTATTTTTGTTCAAAAATTTACACTTTATTTTATTTAATTTTACACGTAACTTTTTATAACATATGGTAAAATGTCAGAAACAATCTATTAACTACTTCAAAGAATGTTACGAAACTACTTGTTGGACATGGTGTTCCTGAGATTCGAGATTTCATTCGGAGGTTAGCTTTTAAATATTAAAAATTTGAATTTTCACCAATTAAATTTATATGATACCCATATATCATAGATTTAATCATTTAGGTCAGATGAGGGTAACATGGGTGACATGCACTTGGTCTCACATAGTAGGTTTTTTGTGAAAGATGAAATTGACGATTTAAAAACTGGAGAGTAATCGTCACTTCTGTTTATTCTCTTTACGAGATTGAAGAGATAACTTTTTTTTGTTTTTGCTTAACTATTTTAACGTTTTTTTAATATTATTATAGACTCCTGGAATTTGGGTGTGCACAATAATTGAAACTGTGATAAACGCTTGGTGCTATCTAGCATGTCGAAGGTGCAGTGCAAAATTGAAAGATAATGATGATAAAGTTGAGTGCACCAAGTACAAGGCAACGGTTGGTATTTATTGGTAATATTTCTTTGTTTGTTTCCATAATTTGATTTGTTTTGCACTTAATTATAACTACTACATTACTAAAACGATAATTATTTTAAATAAAAGATTTAGGATCCGCTTTGGTATTTGTGATGATACTGCAAACGCAACATTAATCTAAGGTGTTGACTGGATCCAATGCAGAGGAGAAGGTGTTGATACCTCAATGACCCTAACATCTTCTGATGTTAGAATACCTTTCAAAATTCAGCGGAGACAGTTTCCCCTAATGGTTTCTTTTGTCATAACGATTAACAAGAGTCAGGGCCAATCTTTATCACACGTTGGCCTATTCTTAAAGAAGTCGGTTTTCAGTCACGACCAATTATACGTAGTTGTTTCCCGTGTCACTAATCGAAAGGGGTTGAAAATTTTAGTTTGTGGTGAGGATGGTTTGCCTACAAAGCAAAAAAGAATGTTGTGTACAAAAAGGCTTTTAATAATATATAATTTTTTTTATTTTCTATTTTGTTTTGTATTTTTTATTCACACAAATAATAAAAAGAATATTGAGCAAATTACTTGGAAACTGTTCACCCCGTGTATCGCACGGGTTCCGTACTAGTTATATAAATCAGATAATTAAATTAGGTAAATCATAAGGTGATATGAATTCAACTGATTATGGTCCAACTTGGTTGATTAAAATGAGTTTAAGTGAGTTATTGAATAAAGTTGATTAAACTGAGTTTAAATGAGTTATTCTGAATAAAGTATAAAGTATATTGAATGAATGATTTTGTATTTAAAATTAAATAATATTTTTTTTTTGTACAATAAAATTAAATAATATTTAAAATATAATGATTAAAATTGATACGATGTAAAAGTAAGAGAAAAATAAGAGGAATTAAAAAGTATATAAAATTATGTGACTGATTGATCAGTGAATTCAAAATTGACATGAAAATGATTTGATAGGTTTAATGTAATTATATAACTAGTACAACACCCGTGTATTACACGGGTGCTTGCTAATTTTTTCATAAAATCTAAAATTAATGAGAAAAGGTAGTTGAAAATTTAAATATCTTTTATAAGAATATATATATTATTATATATTTAGTATGACACTTTTTATTTGTGCACCTTACATGCGTTATATTATAATATTTTTTTAAACTTACAACATATAACTACATTAAACATAAATATATCAATTGAGAAATAATTTTATTTTTCTAATGAATTTTAATAAATATTATTATTATTTTTTATTATAAAGATAAATATAATTTATTTATTTCATATATACAATATGGATGTCAACTCGAAGATCATCAAAAGATGATTAATTTGATATATTATATATGTAAAACCGATAAGAAATACAAAAGTTATCAACTTTTAAAATACATTTATAATTCAATAGCTAATTGAAGGAAACAAATCAAACGTCAGAGATATATTAGTCAATTAGTGCCTCAGTATGTAAAATTACAAAGAAATAAAGGGTTATATTAGTACAAGTGATATTAAAATACCTAAGTTAGCCAAATAATATTTATGGAATGTCCAAACCTAAAATATTAATTATTAATATTTCAATATTATTTGTCCAAACCTAATTACGAAGCATGATTCTTTGCCAAGTAGGATTTCGAAGAACCAGGAACAGCCAGGTAGGCTCAGCGCATTCGAAAATAATATATAGGGAGGACATTTATATAAACTAGAAAAATTAAATTGAGTTATACGATTAAATATGAAATAACATAACATATTATAAACGACATCATAACTCAAATCCACTCCCACTTGAAATTCCACAAAATTCCATAAATGGATGTCACTAGACATGGCCACGAGCCTACCCGGCCCTTCGACCCGGTCGAGCCCGCAGTCATCTCATATTTCGCCGGTTCGGTGAACCGGAATCTTGGCCATGCGGGTCAGTTCCGGTTCTTAGTATTTTTGTTCTTGTCCTTGCTGTCCGAGCCGAGTCAAGCTACGGGTTAAAAGACGGGCAGCCTTGGTATTTTTTTTATGGGCCGAAACGTCCAAAAATTGGATGGTCGTTGACCCGACAGTTCAGGACTGGTTTAATGAATTGACCCATTTAAATTCTCAGTCCGGTTAGGGGCCATCAATTTGTGACCCGCAGACCGCCGGGCTGTGCCGGGCCGCGGCCGTGATTTGGCCACCTCTAGACATCACCTAGAATTTGGGACCGAGTGTGGGTAACAAAGTCATTTCAACCATGAACGAAATGCTGCAGCGACTGCCAAAATGAAAAGGAAACGTGAGATCTAAATCTGGAACTTGAAATCTACGATTGAAAGGATTGCTTTAACCATACAAACACCATTTTTCACGCCCTCACATGCCAATTTTGCGAAGACGCGCACACTATTTCGTCAGCTTCCTACGAGAAAGACATCCATCTCACTGTAGCTTATAAGCCGTAATTTCGCCCGATCCGTCTTCAGGTTCATCGTCCGTACGTTACATCTCGAGCCGCTCGTAAGATTATCCATTCTCGTAATTTTAGCTTTTATTTTTATTCATTTCTGATTTCTCATGTTGTTATGATGGACTGCGTGTTATGTCAATGCTCTGCTGTTTTCAAACGTTTGATTTGGACTGATTTTGGGTGTTCGATCGTAGATCTGCGTGTGGTCTGGTATTTCTGCTTAGTTGTTTTAGGTTTGCAATTGAGAATAAGTTCTTGTAAATTCTGAGTTGTTTTGTGGAATTCGGTGTTAGTAATTGGTAAGAAAATGGATTATTAGGTTTCGATCATGCATTTTGTGGATTGTAATAAGAAATTGATGGGGTACTGCCGGATGCCAAAAGTCGTTCAATTAGAAGCTGTTGATATCTAATGATCCCGACTTCCTGTTAATTTTAGCTCATTCATATTAGTTGAAAAGACGGTGACGATAATGGAATCCATAGACTCGAGGAGGCCGTTAAATGCAACTCTTTTTGTCCAATTCCCTGTGATAAATTTGCTGTAACTGCATTGTGTACATTAATTACTGAAAACACTAGAAGCTGTATATGTACTACAGTAGAGCTGTCAAAACGGGCCGGTAGGGTGAGCCGGCTCGTAATCGGCCTATTGGCGGGGCGGGCTGGCCCGCCAGAAAAGCTGGCCCAACCCGCCCCCGCCACATAACTACAGTAATATATTTACCCTTTTATGTGAATTATGTTGCAGTGTTAAATATTTAGTCTTATTTTATTTTTTATCTTCCTCTATGCTTTGGTTTGGGTAAGTAGAAAAAGGAAATAGTAAATTTAACTTGCCAATGACATATTTCAAACTTAATTGTTGGATGGTAGTAGTTTATAATGCTCCTGTTGCTCCTGCTGCAGTCCATTCTTATCATTACTTTCTTCTGATGATCTGCCAGTAGTTAAATGATAGTTTGCTGGTTTATGAGAGTTTAGCATAGCTATTGAATGGCACCGTAAATATTTAGCTGTCATTTGGTTAACTTTTAGTTTCTGTGTAATTAATTAAATTAAATTGACAAAATCAATTGTTTAATAGGTTTGTAGAAATGATCCTCTTTGCTGGTTTTCCATTTTTACTGTTTGATAAGACATGTTATCTTATAAATGGTTCAACATTAGTCATGTTCGTATGTATACTTTGGAGTAAGGGGGTAACCTTCATTTGCTTAAAAATTTTGTGGTTTATTAGTTTGAAAATTGAAACGTGCTCAAGGAGAGTAATTACTAATGTTTTTCCCAGTGACATTGAATTACAATTTTAAATCCATTTCAAGTACATATTGTTGCAGGGATTGATGGTTTAAATTGCGATAATTTTAATAATAATAGAATGCAATACCTTTCTGTCTAGGTTAACAAAATTTGATTATGGGCAGAAATTGATAATGAGCAGCAGGATTGTGCTTGTTAGTTTCCATTAATGCTATCTAAAATATTTTATGGGTTAGATAATCGAGTGGCGTGAGGTACCGTCTAATTCATTTTCAGAAAAAAATCTGGAGCTGACAGTCCTTGTAGGATCCTACTTGGACAGTTAACTAAACAATGTTGATGAATCTTCATTGGGGCCTGAATAACCATTGTGTGACTTTGTATTTGACATTTCTGTCCTGAACTTAAACTTGAAAGTAATATACTAATTGTACCGATTTCCGAATTGCAGGTCAGCATTGTGTACTTGTTTGGTGATATTTACTTTCTTTCCTGCTATTGAACGATGGCTCTTCTTTTGGTTTCAAGAAGGAATTTGTGCACTTCATTCATATATTTGCTTCTGATATTCCAAGCCTGCGGTTTTTATCTACCGGGAAGCTATATGCATACATATTCAACAGGGGATGAAATTTATGCCAAGGTGAATTCACTGACTTCCATAGAGACCGAGCTTCCTTTCAGCTACTATAGTCTTCCCTATTGCAAGCCTATTGGGGGAATCAAGAAAAGTGCTGAAAATCTTGGAGAACTTTTAATGGGAGATCAAATTGACAACTCTCCATATCGTTTCCGAATGAACGTCAACGAGTCCGTATACCTCTGCACCACTCAGCCATTGAATGAGAATGAGGTGAAGCTTTTGAAACAGAGAACTCGCGACCTATATCAAGTGAACATGATTCTTGATAACTTGCCTGCTATGAGGTTTACCAATCAAAATGGGATCAAAATCCAGTGGACGGGATACCCGGTGGGATATACCCCTCCAGGCAGTAATGATGATTTCATCATCAACCATCTGAAGTTCAGGGTGCTTATCCATGAGTATGAAGGAGCCGGTATCGAGATAATTGGTACTGGAGAAGAGGGCATGGGTGTCATTTCTGAAGCAGACAAGAAGAAAGCTTCAGGGTATGAGATTGTTGGTTTCGAGGTTGTTCCATGCAGTGTGAAATATGACCCAGAGAGGATGACGAAGCTCCACATCTATGATAATGTGACATCTGTCAACTGCCCGCTAGACATTGACAAATCTCAGATCATTAGAGAGCAGGAGAGAGTGTCGTTCACGTATGAGGTTGAGTTTGTGAAGAGCGATATCCGCTGGCCGTCCAGGTGGGACGCTTACCTGAAGATGGAAGGGGCTCGTGTCCACTGGTTCTCAATCCTCAACTCCTTGATGGTGATTTTCTTCCTGGCCGGCATAGTTTTCGTTATATTTTTAAGAACTGTAAGAAGGGATCTTACAAGGTACGAGGAACTGGACAAGGAGGCTCAAGCCCAGATGAATGAAGAGCTTTCAGGTTGGAAGCTTGTGGTTGGTGATGTGTTCAGGGAACCTTCACACTCGAAATTGCTATGTGTGATGGTGGGTAATGGGGTTCAGATAACTGGGATGGCAGCTGTCACTATTGTTTTTGCAGCTTTTGGCTTTATGTCACCAGCTTCCCGTGGTATGCTGTTGACTGGTATGATTTTGCTATATCTCTTCCTTGGAATCGCTGCTGGGTACGTTGGTGTACGTATGTGGACGACTGTTAAGGGTTCGTCCGAGGGGTGGAGATCGGTTGCTTGGTCGATAGCATGCTTTTTCCCAGGCATCGTTTTTTCTATATTGACCTTCTTGAATTTCATCCTATGGGGAAGTAAAAGTACTGGCGCCATCCCAATTTCCCTATTTTTCATACTCTTTTCCCTCTGGTTTTGCATCTCGGTGCCTCTGACACTTGTGGGTGGGCTTTTTGGTGCACGGGCCGAGATCATCCCATACCCAGTCCGGACCAATCAGATCCCCCGGGAGATACCTGCTCGCAAGTACCCCTCGTGGCTTCTCGTTCTAGGTGCAGGGACACTGCCCTTCGGGACGCTCTTTATAGAGCTTTTCTTCATACTCTCGAGTATCTGGCTCGGGAGATTCTATTACGTGTTCGGTTTCTTGCTTATTGTTCTTTTGCTGCTGGTGGTTGTCTGTGCCGAGGTTTCTGTTGTTTTGACTTACATGCATCTGTGTGTCGAGGACTGGATGTGGTGGTGGAAGGCCTTTTATGCATCTGGCTCGGTGGCGCTTTATGTTTTCCTGTACTCGATCAATTATCTGGTGTTTGATCTGCAGAGCCTGAGTGGGCCCGTGTCTGCCTCGCTTTACCTGGGTTACTCGTTGATAATGGCTGTCGCAATAATGCTCTCGACCGGGACCATTGGGTTTCTTACTTCGTTTTACTTTGTTCATTACCTGTTCTCATCCGTGAAGATTGATTGAGAAATGTTGATCGATTCTAGTTAGGGGCTGGTTTGGGGAAGAATAGAAAGAGGTGTAGTGAGATTGTATTTCATTTTCGTCAAGCACTTTGCGGGCCATATTTTTTTAAGTCATACGTATCTTGATACTTGAATGTCACTACTATAGACTACAATTGTTATTTTCAGTTGTTTTAGTTTCTTTTCTTGCTGGCATTTTTATTTTTTATATATTTTTCTCTTTAAACCGTCTCAGTAACGTAGCTTTTGCATGTTATACACCCTATACTGTGGCACTTTGGACCCAGGTACATATAATTAGTGTAGAAGAGTCGGGTGGTGTGTTTCATAGTGGAGTCTGAATTACACGCTTATCATGCTTGTCGGTATATGCTTGAAACTTCATAAGGATCCGAACAAGTGGGAGTTTGCTATACATTGAAGCCGTTGGAGATATTTGCTCCTACTAAGTTTGGGTTTTGATTGTGAGAATGCTTATCTAGTTATAGTGCGTTTGTTAAAGTTCTGTTTATGGGCATATGATACAATAATTTTTTGGGTCATTTGTTTTGTTTTATGATTTTGGTAACACAAAACTCGACCGGCTGGAATCCGAGTAATCGCCTTTCTTCTTACCGGTTGAATGTTGTACACTTACAAAGAACTCTCACACTGGAGGGGTTTCTCGGTGAAAAGCCTCTAAAGCTTAAGTCAGTGTTTGTTCAATCAATTATCAAGAGTGGAAATAGAATGATCGTGTCTAACAAGAAACGATTACCCCCATATATATAGGGGTAAGATACCTACCCTAGGAGCCTGCCTGTCCGTACACACACAGTATGCGTGTGTCAGAGAGCCGTCGCCACTATCCTCTGCACCAATACCTCTGCGCCATGTGCCCTCATCACATGGAGTAAAATATTCCCTCATGATTTGTTGACGTCCTACTGACACATCTGCAATTCTGTTAGAAGTTCCTCGTATTTTGACCTTATCCGAGTCAACTACCTAAGTTGTCTTTTACTTCTAGTGAGATCGACCATCACACTGCCTCGGGCCTATCGTCGACCAACGCGGACTCGACCTGCTTGATACTCGACCAGGTCCTCCTTATTATCTCTACCCGAGCCTTCGATATTTCTTCCTCGACTACACTCAATTTTCCCTCTCACCCATCATTACAATTGGAAACGATCTCTTTCATATTTTAATTCGTTTAGCCAGCTAAAAGGACCGGTTTATCCGTCTAGGTATAATATTCTATATCATCTAGTCTCATCCACTCTTGTCGAGTCTAAATGACTCGATCTAAGAGTGAGTGCTGACTACCTTCACCTTGTCGTTTTCTCTTTTCTTATTTCTCGACCATTTTTTGCGTGGTCTCATTCTCGCCACATGTTCCTTGTGTCAGCCCTCTGTCGTATGTCAAGATCATCCATCATTGCGTCCTTTCATAGTTCGTGCCTCTTCGTACATCGCGCCTTCTTTACTCCTTTTAATCGTTGGATTTTATCTTTAATCCAACGGTCGTCTCTCCTATTTTTTCTCTCCTATAAATATCCGCACTTAGCCAATTTTTGGACTTTTTCACCTTTACCAATTTTCGAACTCCATTGTGCCCTAACTTTTTGCAATACAAGTTTTCTTCTCCCCGGCGCTCTGTTTCTCCGGCGATTCTGCATTCTCCGGCAACATATTCTCACTACAGCTATGAGTAAGTCCCCGTAACTTTACTTTGTGACTTCAATTTTACTTTCAATTTTTCCTCTCTCGCTTCTTTTTTCTTCTCCGTTCACTTTTCTCTGAAAACCCTAGTCATCGCGTTTTGGTCTCCTCTCTTCTTCTCCTTCTTCTTTGCTTCTTCAAACCTTCAAGTTCCTTTGCTAACATTTTTCCTCGTTTTATTGTTTTACCACTTTTCCAGATTTTGTTACTTCCGCTGAGAACGACCCACTCCGGCGAAAATTTGCACTCACCACCATCATCCCCGGTTACACGGCCGATACCTCACTCTCCCTCTCGTTCTGTTGAGGAATTCTATCAGCCCCTTCCTCTCAACATGATCCATCCTGATGATCCTACCTTCGTCATTCGACCCTTCCATCTCGTCGATGAACCTGAGGAAGATAACCTTGAACATATGCCTCTGATCCGTTGTCGTCGACTTGCTTTCGGTGCTTCTGACGCGGCGGAAGTTTCCCTAGATGTTGCTGAGGCGGCTCGTGAGAGAGAGGACCACACTCCTCTTTCTCAACGCTGTAACTTATCCTCCACTCCCAAAATTACCAAGTCTAAACCATCGACCACTCTTCCTTCTTCTTCCAAATCGACCAAGACCAAACCACCCTCGAGTTCTATCTCTTCTCGACCAAAACCTACGAAGCCTCACTCCCCTCCTAACTTGTTGTAACTACAAAAGTTCGGCCACCCTTGTGGCTGGTGTTTCGTTTCCCCAAGCCCCAATGACACTTATGATAATCCTCCTGCACGCCATTATACCTTTTTCAAGGTACAATTTAAATTGGGCATCCATTATCCTCTCTGTCCCAAAATTTTAGAAATATGTGATTGGTCCGGCCTTCCTTTCAACCAACTTCCTCCTAACGCCATTCGCTCGATTAACACATTCCTCATCCTTTACCATATCCGACTAGGTCGATTCGATAAAGGTTTTTTCCACTACTGCTACGTACCCTCTAAACAAGCCAATGGGTTATATCTGAAAAGTCGTAATTGTGCCCATTTCATCGCCGATATTCCTTCTAACGTTTCGAAGTGGAAGATTAAATTTGTCTATGTCGAACCCGACGTCTCCTTTCCCTGGGCGAATACTCCTTGGGTCACCTTTCTTACCTTTGAGCTTGAAAACCCTTCTCTTGAGCTTCTTTACGACCAGCGTATCGTCGTCTGGAACTCCAAATCCGTCGCCTGCAATAGCCTCCTCGAGAATGAGAACTTATTACATTTTTGTGGGCTTCTCACCCACAAAACCTTTTCTCCTCCTACCTTAGAAGTTCTTAATTCTATCTGAGTTGAGGGCGATCCAGGTAATATTCGGCCATTTTACCTTGCACAAGTGTCTATCTCGTATCATACTGATGTGTTGTTTATTTGTTGCAGAGATGCCCCTGATTCCTATGCTTAAGAGGAAAGTTCCTCTCAAAAAGCGGGCTCCTGAAGGCTCAACTGCTCAACCCTCTGATTCGGACAACTCACACCCTGATTCATCAACTCCATCCAGGAGGTCGAAACTCAGACCACTTCGACCGAGACACCTTTGGGTGTGGAACAGATTCCGACTCCCACCTTCATAATCATCACTGAGCCACCTCCCACTCAACAGTCTGAATCAGCCAAGTAAGTACCACCTACCTTTCCTCAGCAAAAAACAGAACAAATTATTCAATCGGCCTCGCACTCTCCCAATCCTCGACCATCAACTCCCCCCGAACATCGACCATTCTCATCGTCGAGGCTCCTCCCTCCCTCGAGCAACCTGAGCTCGAGGGAATCTAGAGAAGCGTTCTCGAGATGAGGATGGTGAGAAGAAAAAGAGCAAGCGGCGTCTCCTTGTCAAGATGGCCGACCCGCCCACTCCCCCTGCTCCTCTGTCACTGGCTAAGGTTAGTGAAGAGGAGTTATTGTCGCACTTGAAGACGGTTGTCCCTGCCGCCGACCTCGAGGCCAGCAATTCTCATTACGGACTCGCGACCATCGCCTTACTCGCTGGTTAGCTCAGGTAACTCTTTACTACCCTTGCTATGTATTATCCTATTAACTCTGCCCTTTATTCTCTATTCTTCTTCGCGTATTCATTCATTTCCCCTTGTCGTGTGTAGGCTTTGATCGAGCTTCTACCTTTGCCCGAACATACCTTGGGTAGTGCCAGCGACTCCATTCCCCTCATCGAGGACGGTGCTGCTCTTTTGTGCGAGAAGAATAGCAAGCTCGTCATTCGATGCCATGGGTTGCGGGAAACTGTGGTCGAGACTAAGCGAGAGTGCTCGGCTCAGAAGAAAAAGGATGAGGAGACCGAGGGAAGGATTAAGGCCCTCAAAGAAGCCCTTGCAGCGAAAGTGAGGAAAAGAAAGCTCTCGAGGGTCTACTTGAGGCTGAGAAGGCTGCTCGAGCACAGGAGATGGCGGCTCATGCTCAGGAGAAACACAAAGTGACCCAACTTGCTGCTCTTCGTGCTCGTCAAATGCTGTGGCACACAACGGTCGAGCAACGATTTTTGTAAGAATATCACGAGCAAGTGGTGGTTGACTTCATACAGTCACCACAATATCTAAAGGAAGTGCAAGGCCTCGGTACTGATTAATTCCAGTTTGCTATGACCGAGGCAACTAAGAAGACAGCCGAGGACGACTTTGAGGCGCTCGATATAGCAGCCATCTGGGATGCTATGCCCAATGTTCCTCAGGGTTTCCACGGTGATCCCGACTTACTTATCATTCATGAATGGTGGTCGGGCATCCTCGACCGTACTCTGGCTCGAGCTGATGTTTTGAAGAAAACCTTCAAGCTGACCGGTGGTATGGCTCCTCCTGTCTCCATGTAGCAGGCCATGGCTGCCTCGATCCTTGCTCGACCCCATATCCGACATGGCTGAGTTCTCGTCCGGCTGTAACCAGCAAGGCGAGCCAGAGCCCGAGTCCACTGCCGATGTCGGTGCAGAGCAAACTTCTCAGAATCCTGATGCCCCTGCTCCTTAGTCAATTTGTATTTTCTCCTTCAATGTTATTAATTTTGCCTATGTAAGAACTCCCGTATCAATGAATCATATTTTCTTGACTCCAGTAGTTTTGTATGTGTGCTCAATCATGTTTCATTTTCGTGTTTGTTTATGTCTGATGAATGTATATCGCCTATGTTGTGTCTACGCAAATTTTTGGGTATATTTCGGGGCCATCAGTCTTCGGCTCTGTCATATTATTTTCTCTAAGTTTATATTTCCTTGCACATGCCCACCTTCGAAGAGGTGGTCGTTACATGCGACCATCCAGCCTCTCGACCTTAGTCATGATGGATTTTTGTCTTCGAACACATGTCCACCCTCAACGGAGTGGTCGTTACATGCGACCATCTAGCATCTCAGCCTTAGTCATGATGGATTATAGTCTTCGAACACATCCCAACGTCAAAGGAGTGATCGCTACATGTGACCATCCAGCCTCTCGTCCTTAGTCATGATGGATTTTTGTCCTCGAACACATGCCCACCCTCTAAGGAGTGGTCGTTACATACGACCATCCAGCCTCTCGACCTTAGTCATGATAGATTTTTATCTTCGAACACATGCCCACCCTCAAAGGAGTAGTCGTTACATGCAACCATCCAGCCTCTCGGCCTTAGTCATGATGGATTTTTGTCTTCGAACACATACTCACCCTCAAAGGAGTGGTCGTTACATGGGACCATCCAGCCACCCTCAAAGGAGTGGTCGTTACATGCGACCATCCAGCCTCTCGGCCTTAGTGATGATGGATTTTTGTCTTTGAATACATGCCCACCCTCAAAGGAGTGGTCGTTACATGCGACCATCCAGCCTCTCGGCCTTAGTCATGATGGATTTTTGTTTTCGAACGCATGCCCACCCTCAACGGAGTGGTCGTTACATGCGACCATCCAGCCTCTCGGCCTTAGTCATGATGGATTTTTGTCTTCGAACACATGCCCATCCTCAAAGGAGTGGTCATTACATGCGACCATCAAGCCTCTCGACCTTAGTCATGATGGATTTTTTCCAAGCAACCTGCCATCAGGGTTACTCTAAATATTCAAATAATAAAGTGATTCAATAGACAATAAGATGTTGAGCTCAACCGTGCAGTTTCATTAATAACAAATAAGGGGGTTGATTACATTGATTCCAGCAAATTTTTTCATAAGTAAAAAAAAAAAATTACGCGTAATATTTCTTCAAGTTAGCCACATTCCATGACCTGGCCAACGATCTTCCCTCAGCATCCTTTAGCGAGTATACTCCTCCAGCATGAACTTTCTCGATAAGGTATGGTCCTTCCCAGTTCGGCTCCAACTTTCCCACGTGCTTCAGTACATCAACCCTTTTCTATACTAGGTCACCCACCTGGAATCTCCGCACCTTTACCTTCATATCGTGTGTTGCTCGCATCCTTTGCTTGTATGCCTCGAATCTGATCGAAGCGTGCTCCTAGAGTTCCTCGATTGTGTCTAGAGATGCCATCATCAGGCTTTTGTTTTGCTCCCAGTCATAAGTGTTTGATCTTTGTGATTGGACCTCGACCTCGACCGGCAATAAGGCCTCCATTCCATAGACCAGGCTGAAAGGTGTTTCTCCTGTGGTCGACCTAGGCATTGTTCTGTATGCCCAGAGTACCGAGGTGAGTTCATCAACCCATGCTCCCGATGCTTTTTCCAGCCTTGTTTTGAGACCGTTCAATATGATTCTATTGGTCACCTCAACTTGTCCATTGGCTTGCGGGTGAGCGACTGATGCAAAATATTGCTCAATCTTCATGTCCTCACACCATGCTCGAATCCACTTGCCATTGAACTGCCTTCCATTGTCGGATACCAACACCTTCAGGACTCCGAACCTGTAGAAAATGTTGTTATATAAACATTTTATGACCTTCTCCTCTGTGATCTTGGCCAGGGGTTCGGCCTCCACCCATTTCGTGAAGTAATCGACCGCCACGATCAAGAATTTCCTCTGTCCAGTTCCTTGGGGCATTGGCCCCACCAGGTCAATACCCCATTGCGCGAATGGGATAGGAGCACTCATGGTCGTCATTGCTTCAGCTGGTTGATGGATAAGTGGACCATTCTTATGGCACTGCAAACATCTCCTCACCAGCACCTTAGCATCCTCCTTCATCGTCGGCCAGAAATACCCTGCTCGCAGAATCTTGGCTACCAGAGAACCTGCCTTGCTGTGATCACTGCAACATCCTTCATGAGTTTCCCTCAACACATATCGACTTTTCTCCCTGGTCACACATCGCAAATGTGGTCCAACATGAGACCTTTTATACAAGATTCCTCCATGCTCGAAAAACCTCCTTATCACATTGATCCCTCCTTCCCTTAACTCCTTTATTATTGGGGCCCTCCAGTCCTCAACCTCATCTATCTCTGCCACCTCTTTCTCAACCACACTTTTCTCCATGTGTAATAGGGTCACACTTTTGCTCTTGCAATCGACCAGGGTTTGTGCTACTTTTGACAACAAGTCAGCTCGACCGTTTTCCCCTCGAGGACCCTGAAACCTTTTCATCTCCTCCACATACTTCAGCATCTTGTCCTCCTTAATCTCGAACACTTACTGAAATTAGCCAACCACCAGTTGTGAATCTGAATGCACCTGCACCTTTCGAGCTCCTCCCGCCAGGGCCAACTGGAGCCCTTTTATGATTGCTTCATACTCTGTCTCATTATTCAATATCCGATATGCCACCTTAACTGCAAAGTCCAAGCTATCTCCCTTTGGCGAAATCAGCACAATGCCCAGACCGCCTCCAATTTTCAACATCGATCCATCCACAAAAATCTGCCATACTCCTTCACACTCCTCCTCTCCCTTTGTTCCCTCCAAAATAAAATCGGCCAGCGCTTGCACCTTGATCGCCCTCCTTGGTTCATATGCTATTGTGTATTCGTTTAGCTCGACTGCCCATTTAACCAGTCGACCAGATATCGAGGGTCGACCCAATGTTTCCCCCAGAGATATGTTCGTCCGGACCTTCACCTTATAGCTCAAAAAATATGGCCTCAGCTTTCTCACAGTAACGACCACCGCCAAGGCACACTTCTTGATCTCCGAATACCTCCGCTCAGCGCCTAGTATCACCCTACTCACATAATAGATTGGGAATTGGGCTGCTCCTTCTCGCAACAGTACCAAGCTCACCGCCGTTTCTCCAATGGACACATACAACACCAAATCCTCTCCATGCACCGGCTTGGCTAGCAAGGGCAAGTTGGCCAATACTTTTTGTAACCCCTCAAACGACCTGTGGGCCTCTTCCGTCCATTGGAACTTCGAGCTCTTCCTCAATGTTTTGAATAACGGCCCACTCTTTTCTGCCACTTTCGAGATAAAGCGACTCAGACCTGCAATTAGCCCTATTAGGATCTGCACCTCCTTCACCTTTGTAGGGGGCCTCATCTCAACCACCGCCCGCACCTTCTCTGGGTTCACCTCGATTCCCCTTTTTGTCACTATATAACCCAAGAACTTCCCCGACTTTTTCCCAAAAGAACACTTGGCGGGATTCAACTTCATCCCATATCTCCTTAACGTTATAAATGTTTCCTTCAAGTCATTCAC